GTGTGTGTGTGTGTGTGTGTGTGTGTGTGTGTGTGTGCACGCTTGTGTGCCCGGCCCCCACCAATCAATCAATCAATCAATCAACCCATCAATCAACAATCAATCAATCAATCAATCAAAAAACAATCAATCAATGAATCTTTTTTTTCTGTTTTTTTAATTTTTTCTGTCACACGTAAAAAACCACCCCCCCAATTTTTTTTTTTTGCACAGGCCAACAGCGGCCGACGTGCGCAGGCTGTGCGCACGCGCCGTTCTCCCGCGCCCACCGCCGCCTGGCTTAGAAATCAACACATTAGTACCGGGGAAGTAGCACCGGGCCACTCTGGAAATCAACACATTAGCGATCCATACTGGGGCCTTCCTTTTCCTTAAAAGAACACAAATCCTGATTTTGTTCTCTTTTCTTTTGACAAAAAAGGGGGCTTGGCACCCATACCCCACGGGTTCACACAATTACAACATGTAATACAAAGATGATGCTGGGGCATTACCTGGCTCCGGCTCCAGCTTAGGCTCCGGCTTCGGCTTCGGCTTCGGCTTCGGCTTTGGTTAGCAATCGCATTGCACGAGGCGAAATACAAAAATATAGCATCCCCTTTAAAACTCAAATGAACTGAAATGAGCCCAAGTGTGCTAGCTCAGGAGGTGAAGGGTTCGATTCCCCACGTCGTCCATTCGATCCCCTGCAGCCCCCTGTGACACGCTTCGGGTTCACCAAGGGAGATAATTGGCTTGGGCCTCCTCAGCCCTCCTGGCTGGGTCTGGAAGCAGCCGTGGCTTTCCACTCATCTCAAGTGTTAGGAGCCACGGTACTGCTACCCGCATACAGCAGAGTTGGACGCCCGGGAATCCAACCCTTAGCGTCCTATGCTGCGAAGGTACATATATATGAGGAGAAAATTGAGAATAAAGTTCAAAACACTATACAGACTGCTGTCCCCTGAGGAGGAGAAGACAGCTTTGAAAAAAAACAAAAAAAAAACTCTAATGAACTCAGTTGAACCCTGAGTTGAAAAACACAATCAAGGTTAATCAAGGTTATCTAAACTGAATAGCATGCAATGATAAAGCCCGATGATGATCCAAATGGACTCGTCAAGGGGGGGGCCTTGCCAAGTCCATTTGGATCATCATCTGGCTTTATCATTGCATGCTATTCAGTTTAGATAACCTTGATTAACCTTGATTTCTTTCGATCACCATGTGTTTTTCACAACTCAGGGTTCTGGGAGGGAAAAAAAAAAAACACGAGTAAAATGACTGACCCGATTCAACCTGATGATTCACTTCTACCTAATCTGAACGGCGCACAATTGCAGCAAATCCGAATCATAGTCCGGAGCAACTTACGGAACTAAAGACCCGGAAAGCCCTCAGAGCAAAAAAAAATATATCCGACGCCAAAATAGAACCAAAACTCCAAAACGCCCACATGAAGACGGATTTCCAAAATTTGGTTTGCCAGATGCCCTTTGACCTTCCATTTTTTTTTTTTGGAAATTTACATTTCACATGATTTCAGATTTTGCTTTCAGAAAATTCAACACCCCCAGCTATTAGCGACAAATGGACAAACTTGAACATCCAAAAATTTACGCTAACGGAAACCCGAGAACCTATAAAGTTATATAAACCAGGAAAAAACTAAAAGAACCCAGAGGAAATTGCTATTCTAGACGGTCTCTCCTAACCCCCGCGAAGCTGGAATGTGCCTATCTACTAAAACACCTGCCAATTGGAGACCACTACTCCGGGCAATGGGCATGCATGAGGAAGTCGACAGCGCAGCCGACCGGCAAGCAAGACCGAAAAAAATGCTGCTCCTCAATGCACCTTCGCCCATTCGAACTCGAAATCCAAAGCCTGCTGCACACCATTACCAAATAATACTCCCGCTACTACCTTCTTCACCCGAATAGAACACCCGCTCATTACGGTCGCACCTGGACTGAAAGTTGCCTCAAATACGGCTAGAATGACCAGGCGCTCTACTCGGGCGAGGACAGTGCCTCCCCAGCACCCACCACCCACAATCCCAAGCTCGTCTCCCGGAACGATAGCAGTCTCTACTCCAGCTCCACGAGTGCCAACCAACCGTCGGTACTCCTCACTCGCCGCGCGTCGACCCTTGCAGCAGCGGAAGCCGCCACACAGCAGCAAGCCGCAGGTAAGCAACGAAGGTTGCCGCGCACTAGCAAGGGAAGGCAGGTCCAGCAGAAGTGCGCCTACGTAGTTTCCCTACCCAGCGGAATAGTCGCGCAGTGATGCATATCGACTTCAACATCGGCGATGATTCATCCAAAATACAGCGCAAGTTGCGGAGCTGAAAATCGTACCGAAAAGGAATTCTCATTCAGCATTCATACAACTCATCAGGGGTTATCCGGGACCACCGTTCCTTCACCTGCATCGTACAGACAACAGCAGGATTTTGGCAGGAGGCAAGCGATGCAATGTGCAGGCGAATCAGGCGCCACATTCTACCGACCCGTAGGGGATATCCTAAGAACAACCACACTCATTGTGAAGCTACATGCAAGATTGGGGGGGGTTGGAGTCGCACAACGGCTGTACAAATCTCTACTGACTTCAAGACTTACCAGGAGGTGGAAGAGGGCTCAGACGTGGTCGTCTCATTTCATATTTGTCGGTGTTGTTGCTGCAGGATTTCTTGCAGGCAGCAATAGTCAGAACGATGTAGGAACTTGTCCAGCAACAATGATTCGAACAACCATGGAAACATTTTTGACAGCACCATCTCACCACAGCTGAAACAGTGAAGCTGCATGCCAGCTAGGATTGATCCAGATGCACAGCAGAACCTGTACAAAGCTCTATAGACTTCAAGGGTTAGCCAGAGATGGCGGAGGGCTCCCTTGAGACAGTTTCATGCTCGTTTTCGAAGTAGTTGTTGCTGCATGAATTCTTGCAGCCAGGGCCTGAAGGGCAGCCTGCTTCGAGCTGCCGACACCCGTTTTACTCATCCCACCTGGAAATGACAATTTCCCCGACGTTCCGGGGCGCCCAGCTTGCGTTCTCTCCAGATTTGCTCCTGCCTTGGGACCTCCTGGTCCAGACGCAGCTGCCTGACTCGTCTTAGAACCTGCGACTGTCCGGGAAACGGCCTTGGAGCCTGGGCTGGGCTTTGCATTCAGACCTCCATCCGGACCAGCATGTGGCATTGTTGCATTCAAACATGCATTAGTGGGACCATTGTCGGAATCAGCAGGGCGACGTACATTGAGACCTGTGTCTGGAACAGGTGTCGGCGGGGCGATCGTTCCCTCTTGTAGGCCCTTCATGCCCTCCATCTGAGATGCAGTATCGTTAGCAGCAACCTCGTTCACGGGCTCCTCCATTCCTGATGCTTGTCGTCTGCATTTCTCCACCAGTGCTCGAAGATCCTCTGGCCGTGTGATCAACGGAAACGGTGTCTTACTGCGCCATCCACAGTTTTGTAGAGAACACAAATCAGCAAGAAAAACCGACGAACAGCAACAACAGGGCCTTTCCTATTCTGGGACGGCGATCAATGAAACGTTGCCACTCACAGTTTCTAAGAGAACACAGATAATAAAACTGAACAACGACAACAAGGCATTCCTGTTCTGGAATGAGGATAACAACAGGGCCTTTCCTCTTCTGGGATGACGATCAATGAAAACGCTGCCACTCACAGTTTCTAAGAGAACACAGATAATAAAACAGAACAACGACAACAACGCATTCATGTTATGGGATGACGATAACAGAAACGGTGTCTTACTGCGCCATCCACAGATCAGCAAGAAAAATGAAAAATCACCAAAGATGGTGGTGTCCGGAGAGAACACAGATCAGCAAGAAAACTGAACACTGACGGTAATGACAGGGGTTTCCTCTTTTTGGATGACGATCTCGGAGCACCCGTCTTTCCTTATTTTATAACGGTTACTCGGGTCAGGGCCGGGTCAGCAGACACTTCGACGCTCGGCCATCGAGGGTTCGGGATGGGGTAGGCGACACTTCGACGCTCAGCCATCGAGGGTTCGGGATGGGGTAGACAACACTTCGACGCTCAGCCATCGAGGGTATGCCGTTCAGGTGATGCTCACCCGTCTTCTCGTTCCTTCCTCCTTTCTTAGACTTTCTTACCTTCTCCCCTTTTGCCTTCCTTTCTCTCTGTCCCTCCAGCTTTCCTCTTCCGGGGATAACGATTGACAGCGACCTTCCTTTTATATCCTTCCTTTCTTTCCTTTGCTTCCCTCTCTGCCTTCCTTACATCGTCCGTCCATCCTTCCTTTTCTGGGATGAAGATTGAGAGAAAAATAGGGAGGGTGGTGGCAAACAAGTGCCATAACAGTTTAGCTACGTGGCTAGTTTTCCGAAGCTGGCCGGGAAGATCTTCCTATGCCGTGTCGAAAGGAGTTCTGTTTCTCAAATAGATACATGCATCACACCTGGTATGGTTCCACTTCTGGACACAGTGTCCTGGCTGTAGTGGTTAAGATATTTGGCTCCTGAGGCCGAGGTTGCAGGTTGAAATCCCTCCTCGCACGAAGGTCGACTTTGGCCCATGTGTACGCATCTATGAACCACATTGTCTTCTCGAGCAGCATGTGTCACCGACGTCCGTGCGTGTCGTCATTTTCGCTATAGAGATAACTCCAGAAAAATAAGCATGAATGTGCCACATTGTTTCAGCGGACGTTCATCGAGAGGTCCTTACCTGTGTGCGTGTGCGTGTTAGACTGTCGCCAGGACAACCCCTTCTCAACCTGGATGAGTAGACCCAAAATTGAGACAGCCTTACCTCATAATCTTCTATCGAGTTACATGTCAACTTTTACACGATTGCAATACTTCAAACGTCGTAATGTTATGATCAAGCAGCCATTTCATTGTTGTATCCTGAGAGGTGGCAGGTCCACCACCTGTGCACTCGAGCGTGGAATGAGAACCTACCCCTTTACTTTTCAGCATACCTGCACCTTACATTTTGTCTGTTCTTTTAGTAATGCTCTTTCTTATGCATCTAGG